CCCCCCCTACGATTCGGTGCCGATGCCTTTCTCTTCTTCGTGCCTGCTCCCCGGTCTTCCCTCTCAGCCTGTCTGGCGTCCATCCGTCGCTGCCTGTCCTCAGACCTCGCCCTCTCGTCCAATATCCCCTGATATTTCTCCACCCAGTGAGGCTTCGTTAACCTATCCACCAGTCTCATATCCCTCACTTGGATGGTCACCCTCTTCGAGTGGATCGCCACTTCGTTTGTGTTCTCGAAGTTGGCGACCAGGTAAGCCTCCGCAGCCTCCATCAAAGCACGCACGGACGTCATCTGGAACCTCACGGCCTGAACAGGGGAAATGTCCTTCTCCATCACCTCGCGGACGAGGCGTAAGAAGGGCCTGAAAGGGATACAAAGGTCGGTGGATCGCTGCAGCCTCCTGATCTCTGTCAGAGCTGCCATCCCGGGGTGTCTGCGGTGTCTCTGGACCCGGCGAGGCGCATCTGCATTGCCACCAGTCTGTGGCTCAGGCTGGGGGTTCTTCTTTCGCTTGTCACCAGTCGGCTTCCCCCTCTGTGGCCTCGGCACAACCCCTTTCACCTTCCTCGGGCTGTGGGACATCGCAGTGTTGCTGGGCCCGGCCACGTCAGCCTGCGCTGCAGAGCACCCTGCAACTCGCTCACTGCCACGTGGGCCCTCCACCTCAGCAGACAAACCACCCTGATGCCCCAGGCGCGTCTCCTCCGTCTGTCCCGGCCTCTGAAGTCCACCTCGGGTGTCCTCGTGCACCATATACCGAATGTCTCGCAGGAGGCCATCCGAGTACGTCAGCAGAAACGGCAAACCAAGCGGGTCCTTGAACCTAATCGTCATCTCTCCACCTTGCTCGTATGTCAGGCGACATACGGGCGGAACCCAACCAACATGGGCGGAGCATCCATGCCTGCGGCGGATGTGAGCCATGTACATGTTCTCCCCATCGCCCTGCCCTTGCCCACCAGGACTCCCATCAACCATGGACCACATCCCCTGCTCTGGCATGGAGTCGTAACCCATGCACACCATCTGACGGTCCTCCTCCCTTATCTTCTCCCAGCACCGCTTTGTATGCTCCACAACCAGAACGTGCTCCTTCACATCTACATTGAAAATGGACACACGTGCCAGTACCACCAGGAACTGCCACTGCTCCACCATGCCTGCATGCATCCACCCCAAGGGCAGCCAATGGCCTGTCTGCAGTTCGGCCACCATGGTCACCTTGCCATCAACTGTTGCAGGATCCAGACATCCTGGCAGCCAATTCACACGATATCCATGGTGCTGCAACTGCCCCTTAGGGATGACATGGGCCGTAATGTCCATGGCAGCCAGAACGTCAGGCTTCAGGTTGGGCGGGTTCCATACTAGCGGGGACAATCCATCAGCAGTAGCTTCCTCCCCTCTGGCATGCGTGTATGTGTACCCCTGCTCACCCGCGAACACTTTCCCCTCTGCCACCTCGAGCTCCACAGGGTTCCGAAGAGGCGGCGAAAAACAACGAGCAGCAGCGGTGGGACAAACCATCGTCATCTTCTCCTCTTCAGTCACCTCCCTGTTCAGGTGCCTGGACACGAAGCTGTCGTTTATGTAACACACGGTCCATACATTGCCCATGGCATCACGCATGGGCATCCTCACACGGCCACAAAGAAGGGGGGCGTCATGTGGCACCCAACCCAACCGTGGATCCCTCCTGGCATCAGTCTCTGCACAAACCGAGCCCGCTGCAGTGTCCAACCCGCCAATCACCCATGACTCTCCGCACTCGACACTGTCGTACTCAAAATCATTCAGCCTTAAATCGCCCTTCGCGTCCAGAACACGCCATAGTTTCAACACATGCCGTGATTTCTCATCAGGGGTCGCCGCATCGTTCAACCTCAGCACTCTGTCGAAGATGATTGACAGAGTCACGCACCTCCACGACGCCTCTGTGGGGGCGGGATATGGAACCCATTCCCCATTSACTTTGAACGCAAAGCACGACGTTCCTCCAACGGTACCCKGTTGAAGACRACYAGRCACCCAATTGACGTCATACGGGAAGTGTCCTCCTGCTCTCGTCCTCTCAACATTCTCRTATGGAACAAGACACTCTGCACCATCATCGCTCGTGYCKYCMTCCGTGCTCAAGTCTGCAGCCTGCRCACARATTCCCGCAAGGGCCACTGCAMAGTCCGTGGTGTTTGCTCCGACCGATATCCCTTCGTTGCTGACACCTGCAATACCCTTCACCATGTCCTGAGTCTCCATCGCGCATGTCTCCACGCCGTTGACATTCGATTGAATGGCAGGCTCCATCTATTGCGTGACACATCACAAACATTTATGAAATGCCTTGGCAGCGACGTGACCCCCTCACCAAAGAGAGAGAGAGAGAGAGAGAGAGAGAGAGAGAGAGAGAGAGAGAGAGAGGTGTTTACTACTGCGGGCCAGAACGAGAACAACCAGCGGCGGTGTGCACTTACATGGCACGCAGTAGTAAACCTCTCTCTCTCTCAGGCAGACATACACTGCGTAAAAGGGCGGTTGGCTACTGCGGGCCGTTGGGACAACAAGCAGCATCGGTACACATTGACATG